GAACCTTGGCGACTTCTAGCGGAAGATGGCTGCGGCGTCAGCGGTTCCCATGAAGTATCTGTGCTATCAGCAGATACTACATATGTAACTCGCGTAAAGGGTAACTGCCTCGAGTGTATCGCTAATAATCAATTTGCGAAGAAAGCAAGCACTAAACACGTAAAAACTGTAAGTTCTCCTCTTGAAAATGGTAATAAGAATTTTTTTCAATCATTCAAAGTTTTAGAAAAGGCATTCATTCTCCTATACCTATATTTAAACTAGAAAATTTTATATATACATATAATCAATTATTCCAGAAAAGTGTCTAGAATTTGATATTCTTCCCTTGAGTTGACGAAAACTACCGTAGGCAAAGAAGACAAGTGTGATACAGACCCAAGCTTGGCATAATCATTTATTTTTAAAGGTGTTTTATTTGAAATGGAACAGATGTATAATTTTTACAGGATTTTTGAAAAACACTTTAACTGGCATCTGTGGAACTTTCCGTCGCCCAAATAAAGATTATCGGTCTATTACTAAATGCGTTTTTGAATTCACGAAAGTCATGCAGATTTTAAATGTTAAATGAAAGTAACAACTTTGTTGGGCAGCATTTCATCTGGCTCAACGGATCAAATAGCATTCAACAAGAATTAATTTAATATTTGCAATTATGTAAAAAGTACAATTTATTAAATGCTTACGATTACCATCAAAATATTCCCATCCAAAGAAGAAGTGGATGCAAGATTTTGATTTTGATTTGAAGAAGGATTTTGCCTGACAGAAGGAATCTTCAAAATAAAAAGCAAAAGCAAAATAACTTAACTCTGGATGAAGGAGAAGACATTAATGGATGGATTTTATGGAAGACAATGCAAGTTTTTGCATAGAACTTTATCAGCATCTGTTGAAATTGTAAAACAAATAACCAAAAATATAAAAACAAATAACCATTAAAATAACCAAATAAAGTCCATTTCGTCATATAAACACAACAGGAACGAAAATTCCGAAAGCAAAAATTACGCAAAAATTGTAAATTTAACTGAAAGTGTTCAAATTGATCAAACATCGGTAATCGATTAAATCATCATCATTTTAGTGCAAACTTAGACATATATGCATGTGTTTCGAAAAGTGAGAATTTCATATTTTTAAACGAACGATTAATCTTAGAGTGAAACGCAGTAACATGCGAAGACGTTTATTTAAAAATAGGACTTAAGTAAGCTTGGCTGTTGTCCCAAAAATACAGATCCGATACGTCATGGTAGGTGTTTTCAAATCTATACTGAATCGTATGACTATTTAAGGCTTTTCTTACTGTCCAGTCTCTACACGAGTGTAATTGGATGGTTTTTGATGTTTGGCAAATAGCGCTACATCAATCCAAGCCAAACAAATTCCTCAGTGGCGAAGTGAAATTTTTTGCCAGCCGGTTTTCACTGCCAAAATTAGATACTTTTATCGGCACTGCTTTCCAAGAAAAAATAATAAAAAGTATTGAAACAGAGAACAAGCTGCCTCGTATATGCATGCTGGTTGGGTTGCTCGGTATGGCTTGCGCCATTTATTAGAACTGAAACTTAGCAACAACAAGCCGCTTCTAAATTAACGTTCTAATGTTATCAGTGAAACCAGAACAAGTTTGAGGATTTCACATAACAAATAATTAAGGCGTTAATTAAAGTCGCATAAATTTAAGCAATTGAAACAGATGCGTTCACACACCTTATGCTAATTGCGACTCAAACTGTCACCAAACACTCAGGTATTTTGACTTCACATCTACTCTACACTTTACACAACTGCAGACACTTTACATTTCTAGCTTTCTGTGAGTAGTTTGGGTTTTTGGGCGAAAATGGCTGAAGAAGTTGCTCCGCTTACCGACGAAGAAAAATATGAACTCGCCCTGCAAACGGAGCACGAGCTGGCTCGGCTTGCCCGAACTTACACTATCATGGATCGCAACCGGGCTGAGTTCATGCAAGCTGGAGCATGTGGAAAACTGGCCAAACACAGAAAAGTGCTGAATATTTTCATAAAAGAGCAGAAGAATATTTTAACTGACTTGGCCGTGAGAATGCGGAAACAACTTTATACAAGTAAACTTTTCTGGATATTCCTAGGTGGCCTCAGCAGGCGCGCGAGTAAAGGAAGACGTTAAACTATCAAGCAAATTAGGCCATTTACTAGTAGAATACGATGAATTCGATAACGAAATCAGAACCGAGAGAAACTACACCAAAGAAATTGAGGACCAGATCCAGATGGTTAAGAAGAAAACTCTAGATCTAGCAGCTCAACAAATAAGTGAAGACAAATATCAAGAACGAGTTCTGAAAGTGCGTATAATCAACAGCCTACAGTAGTTACGAAACTTCAATCCACCTAGGGGGAGCAAACCGTTCAAACTTTGGAAAACAAGTTGGAAGTCCAAGTGAAAAAGTTTTGCGCTATTTGCTCCGATAACGTTCAGCTGCGCTCAGAAATTCATCACCTTTTAAATGAAAGAACCGAGTTCAATAAAATATGGGACAAACTCATAAAAAATCTGTGCATTGGCAAAAAGTTCATGATCGATCTAATCGAACAGGCAACGATTGCGTATGATCAACGAGAAGAATGGGTTTCCAAGTTACAATTTTTACGGTAGGCCCTGCATGTTAAGCCACATCGTCTACTTTGCGTGTGGTTTCAGAACTAAAGCTCACAACGAATTAGTAGCGCATATCCAAGAAATGAGAGAAATGCAGAGAAAGCGCGACAACGATGTTAAGCTGCAGGAGTTTTTTGCCACTAAGGGCCAAAAGCGATTCATGAAGGACTTGGAGGACATCTATTTGAAGAAGAGGCAGAAAAATAAGGCCCTGATTGAAGTCAACCTGGAAAACTATCTAAATCTGCTGATAGCAATAAGGGAATTTGCCCACATAGAACACATCCCTGTAGGAATGATTCTATTCGCGAACACGTGTTAGGTAAAATGTGAGTTTTAGGAAATAGCCAAGGAATTTCTGAATCAAGAAGAGGAAAACTTTGCCAAATTCAAATACGTGAATGATCTCAACAAGCAAATGGAGGAACTGAGCGATAGGCTTACGATATGTTATGCAGAAATTGACGCACAAAAAGTGTTGCATGAACAACGCGGTCAGCAACAAGATGAGACTTTGAAAAATTTTGAGGTAAATATGTGAAGAACAATTTTCCGGAAGTCATTGAAAAAAACTCCACTTGGATATAGGAAAAGGTGGTCAATAAGAAGAAGGAAGCAGCGCAAAAAGAAGCAGAGCTTCATGCCGTTGAACAGAAGCTTAACGCCATCCTGGGTGGTATGGGAACATTATTCAAACTATTCAGATGTGATAACAATCCGCTAATTCACATGTTGGGTAAGTTTGGTTTATTTTATTAGTGCATTTTTGTGTCATAAGAAAACATCGCATTTAAATAGGTTTATTTACACCTGGGAAATAATAGATTGAAATTATTTGACTCTGTGTGCCCAATAAGTGATTTTATTTTATTTGGTTAATATAACAAATTGAATAAATGCAATAAAGTAGGTACTGGTTACGTGCAAGTACCGAATTATGGTGGATCGTTCCAAATCAAAAAATCGTTCAGCTGTAAATTTAACTTGCTGATGCTCGATCTGATCATAAAAGTCCCGAAGTTCCATACACCTAAAAATCAGTATTAAAATGAAATAGGTTAGCAGTTTTTAAAGACATTGGGTGTACATGATGTCCAATAATTGATTTAGAATAAAAATAAGGCCGACAGTCCACTTTAAGGAAGCGCAATGCGGCGCTTCAAATTTGAAAAGTATCCATAAGTTTTAAACGCATAATCATAACAGGAAAATTGATAGAAAAAGATTCAACATGACAAATTTATAATTTCTGTCTACTTCCTGTCTTTGCATTATTGATTTATTCAACAAACATTTGTCTGCTAAATTACTTAAGATCGTTTGCTTTTTACCATCCGCTTTTACGCGAATAGTGCAACTTTCTTTAAATAAAGAATCTTAAACTTGTAGCGAATTTCTATACTGCATAAAACTTTGCAAAATTAACATTTATGATCACATTTAACAAAAAACAGAATGCCATATTTACAAACCGTTCCGACTGAGGATCCAAACTATCTTGAAGAAATCGGCAAGTTTTCTGCAGTTTTTTTGCTTGACTATTAGCCTGATGTCCAAATAAAGATACAAACAATGGAATTAACTGCAAAAAATATGTTTGATAAATTCTGACAAAGGGAATATTTCATGTAGGAAAAATTAACAAAGCATTGTTTTGGAACCTTGTTATATCAAAAGGAGCAAATTTTAGTTTAGGTGATGACTAATTTTGAGCGACGCTCATTAGTTGAGAGTCTTAAAAAAATTAAAGAATATCAAATCGAAAATTAGCTTCTTCTTTGTCTGGTTGTTCCTTGAAACAGAATAATGTTCCATACCTAAGAAAAGTAAGCAACTTAAATAAATCGTGCAAATTAAGGTAATTTAAAAAATATTCATCCCGAAAATTTGTTTTCCAAAAATGGCCCAAAGTTTCTGAAACTGAAGCAGATTGAAAAACAAAGTGAAAAATGTTACTTACAAAATCTAAAAGATTTGTAACTAATGCAGGTCTTTGAACATTGTGGGGAGCACGAACGATTATGCCCAAAGACATCCATTTGTAGGCCGAAATAGCTAGGAATAAGGCTTTGTAACCCGAATAGAAAAAAATCATGACAAAGTATCCTCCATGCAGCTGGTTAACAATTTTGGTCAAATTGTGCATTTCCTGTTGCGGGCGGCATGTCTTTACTTGATAAGCACATCTCATTGATGTCGTTGTATTTTTGCAAAATACACCGGAAAATTTCATTAGAGAAAATAGCAATGGAAGTTATGCCGATAAAAGTTGTGCTTCGATAGAACAAGACTTGATAACTTGCGCGGAGAGCAAAAGGAAAGTTCAGCGCACAGGCTGTAAAAACCATCAATAGTTGAAACGAAAATTGCAAAAAGGGTTGCTTCAAGCAAGCATCTTCTAGAGTTCCTTTAGTGTTCAAGTTGGCCGGAGCTTCCAGCCAAGAAAAACTTTTCAAAAAGTCCTCCCATCGATGGAATTTTAACAAAGCAACCAACCGCACGTGTGTGAGCATAGAGAAACAAATCAAAAAGAAAAATATTTCCGAACTTGGTACCACGTTCCAAGACAACCTTTTAATATCACTGACGGCCGTTATTCCCAAGTACAACCCTAAGGTAGTAAAAATTGTGACCAGAAACACTTGAATCACTGTGTGCTTCACTTCTAATGAATCAAAGTCGAGAAAAGGGGCCATTGCCAGACAACTCACGTAGATAACTATCGGTTTGATGCAGACTATATCTTTTCGTGAAGACTTGAACATTGCAAGAATGAGAGTTTCTATGGCAGCAGTTCGTAAAAGAGTTGATTGAGGCGTGGTTCATTAAAGTAATTGGCGTTTTGGGGATGATTCGAAAAATGGTATTAGCTGATAGCAAGCTGGATTGAACATAAAAAATATTTATTTGTGTCCAGTTCAATTCCATATTGTCGGCACGTTTTTGTATTTCATTGTTATTTTATCCTCATTGCTATTTACAGGGTGGGTTAGGATAAAACGCAAACATTTTAGTGGTGTCTTTTGAGGGTCAAAATTACACTACTCTTCCGCACAGTGCAAACGGAAAGAATCGAAAGTTTTGAAGGAAAATGCTTTTTAACAGCAATCATAATCGCTGTTAAAATTTAGTAGAATAATGATTTATAAACGCCACACATAAGTGGCTGATAAGGCTATTTAATTCTGATAAAGTGATGATTATTCAAGTTTGATTGTTACTTTTCATAATATTTCACTATCTTAATTTCTTCTGATTTTTTAATTGTGTTCTAATGGCACCTATTGGATTCTTGGGTCGTATCAATTGAACTTACAAAACATATTCCCTACTTTACTTTTCACTTGTGCCTTGGTTGAAAGTTTGCAAATTTTTTAAAATTTTTTAAAGCAAATTTAGTCTTCATTTTAGAGGGCCTTTTAGGCACAATTTACGTGCTCCCTTTTACTTTAGTCAGTTTGTAAAAGGACTAAAATAATTTGAAGAGGTTTAATGTTACGAAAACGGCGCAGGAAATGAGTGAAATCCTAAATTGTGTTGAAATGATGAGAAATTTGATAACTAGAAAAACGAAGAAAATATCAGAACTGAACCAGACTAAGAAAAATAGAGCTACAGACTAGCAATAACTTTTCAAGTTGAAAGATTTATCCAACTCAAAATTAGATGCTGATTTGATGAATTACTTGATATTATTGAGCCAACTGCAATAATTAGAATCACTTGTTTCTCGATGTATTTTTAGTTAAAAGTTAATTTTATGAGTTGCAACCAAGATTATTTTCGATCGTTTTCATCATTTAGTGTAATTTATTAGCATATAACTAAAATTAGCATTTGAAAGTAAACCACAGCTACAACAGACTAAACAAGCCCAATAATACTTACGAAATCTAAAAAGTTAGTAACCAGTGAAACCCTCAAAAAATTGTTTGGAAAATGCACAATTAGTCCCAAAGAATACCATCTGTACATTGCTATAGCAAGATATAAAGCTTTGTATCCGGAATAGAAAAAAATCATCACAAAGTATCCTCCGTACAATTGGTTAATAATTTTGGTCAATTTCTGTATTTCCTGATACATTATGCGACATTTTCGAATTAGATGTTGTCCAGTTTTTGCAGGTATTTGTTGGGTTGATCGAAACAGACTATTAATATCGCTGTATTTTTGCAAAATGATTTTAAACAATTCGCATGAAATGATCGTGACGGACGTAATACCAATAAAGTTGGTTGTTCGGTAAAAGAAAAAATTGCAAGAAGACCGAAGGGAGAATGAAAAATTTATAGTGCACGCTGAAAAAACTACAGAAAGTAGTAGGATGAACTGGCAAAAAGGACGTTTGTAGCACACTTTCTCCAGATTTCCTCTGGTGTTTAAATTCATAGGGGATTCCAAGAAATATACCGACTTGAACAATTCTTCCCACAGCTGGCACTTCAACAAGGAAATCAACCGTGTGTAAGTGGCAATGCCAAAGCAAATGATGAAAAACAAAAACTCCGATGCTGGCATAGTGTTCCAGCGCAATATGTGCATATCATTAATACCGCTTACTGCTAAATATATTGCTAAAGCAGTGAGAAAAATCACCAGGTACACTTGGGCTACTTTGTGCTTCACTTGGACTGTTTGAAAGTCGAAAAACGGCGTTATTCCCAAAATGTTCAAATATATATAAAGTGGCTTGATGGAAACGATGTCATTTCTCGATGACTTCAACATCACGCCGAATTTGCTACTGACGGAAACTTTCGAAAAACGCGCTGTATAGGCGTGGTTAATTAAAGTAATCGACATAACATTATGTCGATGGCATGTATATAGCAGATAGCATCTGCGACCCCATTTGGGGTTGATTGAAGAGTTTCAAGTCCTCTATTTGGTCAATTTTTATACTAACTTAATTGGCAGGCATTTTATCAATTGGTATACAATTTCTAAAGTTATATTTCCAGGTAATTCGATTTTTAATATACTTACACCTTCAATTCCAATTAGGACATTTTTGATAATAAACTCAGCAGTTGTGAAGCCTAGCTCTTGCCTCGTGTATCTATCATAACCAGTTGTAGATTCATAGATCAATTTATATCCAGAATAAAAAAATACTATAAAAACAGTTGTACCACAAAGTCGATTTAAAAGCTTGACAACAGTTTGCAATTTCTTGAACAAAATTCTGCATTTTCTTATGTACTTGGTGTCCAGCCGGCCTACTGATTGCCACAGCAATTCATCAATATCCGTGTATTTGTCTCTGATTATGATCAGCAGCATATTTATATTAAATATTGTGAAATGGACAGTTAGCGTATGCAGAAGTCTGTAGATCAGAAAGAAGTAGGTTCCACTAGGCTGCAGTAGAAACTGGACGTGGCAAAAAACACCAAGAATCATATTATGCAGGATAAAACTGAAAGTCGGCGATTGCACAGCCGAAGGTGGTTTGGCCTGGAATGTGTTCAAGTTCGATTTACTTTCCAAGAAAGCCAATGTTTGCAGTAATTCCTCCCAAAAGCGTCGGCCAAGGAAACTCATAATTACTGTGCTGAAGTTACAAGCAATGGAAAACATTATCAGAATAATTTCCATGAAAATAAGTCGTCTCATCTCTTCCACTGCCAGGATCTCAGACAAAGCCATCCAATGTACGAATATAGCGCCCAGAACACACACAGCAAAATAACTGAGTTGTATTTGACTTTTCACTAGTTTCATACGATGGAAATTGAAAAATGGTACAATTCCTCCAAGGCTAAAATACTGGAACATCGGCTTTAACTGTAGAACCGATCTTTTAGAATAGAGCCACATTATCAACAGAAGAACTACACTTGAAAGCACCAGAGCCGCTTAATTTCAACGAACTGTTCCCAATTATGATTCAATCCATTGCTTTTCGGTAATCAGTAGATTGGTGCCATTAATATTGTACTGTTCATTAAGAACAGTAACGCTTCCAGCGTTTGGAAGATAGTGATTAAGGAATATACAGGATGCGATATTGACGATTCTTTAAAAATACAACTAGGTAGTAAGAATGCAAAGTACACTTAACATATTAGGCAAAAGTAGGCATTGGTTGAAGAACAGTAATAAAGTTTTTACAATAAAACACATTAAAATATTTTTTTTCAATATTGATTGAACTAGAATGAGATGACGGTAGAAGCTAAACTGTTTTAGCAGCTGCGAATGAATGAATTTATTAGTTGCACTCTGAAGTAAAAAGTTTTTCATCCAATTAATCAGAATTATTTCCAAATCTACCGACTCTTCCAGACTGCAGAAGACAGAATTGACAAAAATATGGCAAGACGAAAATCAGACAACAGAAATACTCGGGATTTTAAGTCGTCCTGGAAAATTATTTATTTGTGTCGTTTCGCAAGCACGAGCAGCTTCTTCAAAAAAAAAATAATTAAAGAAGCCTAATTGAAATGAGCAAAGTTTTTATCGAAAAAATTGAACAATAAAATGAAAGAGATAGACTTTCCAGGCCATTCCTTGAAATTAATGGGCGAAAAACCCATTAGGTTTAATAAAATGAAAGGTTTGATGCAAATCTTTTCAAGCCGTCTCAAACAACATCACTTGAAAAATAAACTACTTTTTGCTGCAGTTTTCCAAATGCAGAATTTTCGGTTTCAAAACCAACATAATGCTCTGCTTAATCATCTAAATAACATGAATAAATGCATTTTCTTCAAATTAAAAACCAGCAAAGCTAACAAGAAGGAAATGCATTTTCTCAGGATACTCACAGTTTCCCAGACAAGCAGGATGATTTTTCCAATAAATTTAGTTTTGGACACACCATTCACTCCTCGCATGTAGTCGTTGTACTCAGTGGTCGATACATAAACCAGCTTATACCCAGAATAGAAAAATATGCAAAACACTGGTGCTCCGCACAACTGGTTTAAAATCATCATCACTATTTGCAATTTCCTGTACAAAAGTCTACACTTTTTTATGTTGTGGGTATCAAGTCTTCCTACAGACTTCCACAGTAGTTGCTCGATATCCGTGTATTTGTCTCGGGCTATTGCTAGCAAAGTAGTCACCAGGAAAAAGATGGAATGGATGCTGATGGAATGCATTAGCCGATAGAGAAAGAAGAAATAAGCGTCGTCGTTTCCTCGTAAAAGAAAGCTAGCAGTTGAAACTCCACCAAGCAACAGATGGAATAGCAGGAAATTGAACAGCAGTGACTTAACAGTTAGGCGACTCTTCTCTTTCAAAGTGTTCAAGTTCGGCTTGGCTTCCAAGTAGGCCAATCTTTGCAGGAGTTCTTCCCAGAGCGACTGTCGGAAGCAAGCGATGCTCAGTACGCAGAAATTGCACAAAGCTGAAAACACTAAATGTACCGATTCCATCAGTAGGTAACTTCGTCTCTCGTCAAAAGCGCCTATTTCTGAAAAGGCTTGGAAATATATAAACACTCCCCAAAACATACAGAACACATAGAAAAACGGCTTGAGTTTAAAGCGGGCTAGTTGCATTTTGTCGAAATTGAAAAAGGGAACAACCGCCCCAACACTCATATAGTAAAAAATTGGTTTTAAATGCAAAACTGATCTTTTTGAATACAGCCACATTGTAGTCAGGTTTCACAGTGGCAAGGAATGATCGAAATGGCTTATATGGGGGTTTCAATGACGCCTTAATAAAGATAATTGTGTTTACTCTAGGTTTGATATTAATGGGGCAAATAAAGGAACATTGATCAATTGCAGCAAAAGGCTAAAGGTAGAATTATATACAGAAAATGTGTTGATTATAGCGATATGAATGTCAATATTGGAAACATCTGATATTTATAATATTTTCCTGCAAGATTAAATTTCCTAGCAGAAAGTCGACGCTGGAAATGACAAAATAGCACATGATTAAAACTGTACTTGCTTGTGGCCGTATTTACCAAATTGATTTATTGAAATATTACTGTTTTAAAGTAAAGAATATTCAAAATTTTCCCTAAGCGCTCACCATGAATGACGTTTATTTTATTTTTGAACTAGACGAAAATCCCATTTTTCTGGCGAATTTGGAAAATGTTTTAAGGTCCTCTTTTTGGTTTATAAACTTTTTAAAAATATAAATAAATGGTTTCATTTTTACTAACTTATTTCTATTATATTAACTTAACCGATTTTCGTTCTAATAGGCCACAATGAAACAATCCATTACTATAACGCTCCTCTGTATATGCAAATATTGGAGAAAACCATACACGAAGCTCTAGTTACCGTCCACTCGAAAGAGAAGAATGCCACTGCCAAGAAAAAGGGAGTAAAACAGGAAGCTTTAGTTGTGCGTCAAGACATGTAAGATCAAATTGCTTTTACCTTACTGAGTTTCATGTTTAATACTTAAAGTTCTATATGAAAATCGCAGGGAAAATTAAATTTTACATGACAATCTCCCAGACACTTCTAAGGTAAAAAATCTATAGGGTATGGGTTAGTTATCAAGCCACGTAGATCAATTTTAATTTTTGCATAGTAATTCTTTAATAATACGATATTTGTACATTTTTTTAAGAAAACGTTATGTTGGGGATTTGGGACACTGTCATTTGATCATGGGATAATAACACATGGGACACTAACATTTGATCTTTACTGCAATTTTTAGTTAATTTTTTTCAATTTCTTTAAATTTTTATGACATATGATATGAATATGATTAAAAGTGGTTTACAAAATAGAATCACGCTTTGAAAAACATGTGTCGATTAATTTAAATCAAAATATCTCGGAAGCGCCTGAATGTATCAATTTTTCATTACAACACTTTGTTGACTCTTTTAAAGAGACAAGACTCTTTTAAAGAGATAAAATAATGTAGGCAGCTCGCTTTCTTACATGTAAAGCGAGCTACCAAGCAAAACCATGATAAACTTTAAGTTTGCCACGATACCAAACTTTCAAATATCGGGATTCGACCAAATAACTATTATATTATATAAAAAATTACTTGAAAAAAAAGAGACATTTAAGTTAATAGTAAACACCCAGAAGCTCGATAACTAAGTAGCCCTCCTAACCAATTACTTTTCGCCTGAAAAATACCTGAGAAATCTCCCCATGAAATGATTTTAAGACATTTAACAAGAAAATAAAATGTTTAAAATGTCCAAAATTTTTCCTTCCATATTTCGCTCACTCCGGCTAATTTCAAGTATTTTTATTAGAGGAATTAAGTGATACATGCGATTTTAACAAGTAACTTCAAAGAAATTGAATACAAAAATTAAAAGAAATTGTTGCCACACTTGACTAAAATTCTGAATCATTAAGCAACAAACACTTAAATTGAAAATAAATAAATTCAAGTAGGTAAAATAAAGTTTTAATGAAACATTCATTTGAAACCAAAGTAGTAAATGGGAATTTAAGAAAAAATCTACAAAAGTGCTAAAATCAAAACAGTTTGTCGCAATCAATTAATCCTCACATAAGAAATGTCCAGTTTTAAAAAAAAATTTTACTGGAATTAATAATAAATTGCCTTTATTTTTGCGTGTTTTTAGTATACCTGCAATAATTGAACCGGTTGAAAGAATATGCCAAACCAGCCCCTGTCCGCTTTGCGTGGAACATGATCTGGTCAGCGATGTGATTGATGAGCTACAGTTTGCCTTTACCAAAGAGGAAATTCAAGAAAAACTCAAAACGAGGCTCGAAATTGAGGGATCTCAATGTGGGCTGCATAATGTTTCTGCTTGCCATTTGCCCAAATCCAGACAAATTATACAAAAGCGATATCAATAAAAGGTTTCACTTTTGAGTATTAGGATCACTTGTGTTTCTTAACCGAGTTTGGCCGCGTCAAAATGTAAAAGAAAACTTTTATTTGAGATAGTTAAAGAGGCCTCTAAATGCCTTCCTAGTGCTGAAGATTTAAGATTAAAACTCTTCCAAACTTTTTCCTGCTTCAATGCTCCCAACAACGATTTATTTTTAAATAATTACATGTAACACTTGCATGAAATTGCATCAATTTACCTCCAGCAGAACCCTATTTATGCGCGTATTCCCCAAACAGTTTCCATTCTTGGGGGATTCGATCCTGGCGCTTGCTTTTTGCCTCTGTCCTCCAAAGCGCTAATTCGGAAAGTAAACACTAAAGTCCGCCCTCCACGTCTACTTTTCAGAATAACTCTGTCCAAATAAAATAACATTGGCAGCTGGTGGAACAGGGCCTGCGGTGTTTTCTTATTTCATATGCTTATTGCTGTGTCAATACGTGGAAAACATCGTAGACTTTGCAGCTAGAGCTCGCTTCTATTTGATTTTCTTATTGGGCTTAAGACCGCTGGGTATTGGAGATCTTGAACAACTTTTGAATTTCATGAAAGGCGGAATGTTGATATACGGATTATAAGAGGTTTAAAAACTTTGGAACACCAATAACGAATTTCATAAGGAACGGAAGCTAAAGTTCAAGAAGGCGTAGATGCAATCGAAAAAAAACACACTTTTTATTTAATGTGAAAGTCTTTCAAGCTGAAAGCATTTCATTATAAACAAATGTGAATTGCTGTTGCTGCATACTGTGTTGATTTAATGTTTCTTTTGTAACTAACTCAAAAACTTTTAAATCGAAGCAAAATGCATTACACAATTAGAGCAGAAATAGTCCTAGAGGCACTTGAACAAACCAGCACTAAATTGTTATAATGTAAGAATGCGGAAGAAACAAGCTGTGAAAAAGCCCTGTACAGATTTAAAAAACAAACAAGTGAACCGAAAAAAGTGAAGAAAACATAGAAGACAAGAGAAAACAAGATTTCATTAAAACACACACACACTAAAACCGAACGGTTTTAAGGTATGTTTCAAAAGGATTCAAAGCAAAAAAGCGGAAAAAAATTAAAAAGACTCTAAAATGAAGGAAATGAAGCCATGGAGATTTTAAGTAAAAATTAAGTAATATAATGCAAACAATATTTCGACAACGTTCTGCAATTATCGCAGTTACAGCAAGTCCCTTAGTTGATCGAGTCAGCAGACTGCCGTTTTGGAACTTGACCTCAACTAAGGCCATTTTCCTGTACTTTTTTAAATATGCCTAAGTTTTCCTAACTTGAAATAATATTCAACTGCTTTCCAACTTGGAAGTTGCGTGCTAACAAGTTTGTAAACAAACAGCAAAACCTGAATCATGTTCTTTGAATGGGCTGGTGAGTCTATCCTGAGCATATCCTGCATTAGCCCGAACAAACAAACAGGCCAGCAGTGGAAGAATGGTCTTGAGCAGCGAAAAGCCCGAAACCAAACAGTAACAGATGGGACTGTGGAAGGGTGTGAAGTTACGCCTTCCTGGCCACATTGTTTGCCTTCGGGGCGACGCGTGTCGAAAGGGGACCAGAGGTGCTGATTAAGGGTTTTGTTTACGGAATCAGCACTGCATATTGGCAAAATTGTTTGTGGGTCATCATTTACTACCAATGGCTTAATAATGAAGCAGCTCTGTAATGGATGGACGCAAAGTTCAACTTCAAGTTAACGCAGAAGAGGGAGGAAGTTTAAAGTAAATGCAAGAAGATGATGTTTGGGTTCCTGCGTAACCCTGCCAGCTTTTTCTTAATCAATGAGCCTCTGCTGCATTGTTTCTTCAGGTTTTCGAATCTTGTCCATGAGAAAAACTAAAAAAAAGTTGGAAACTTCTAACAATTCTTCCAAAATACAATCCGAACCGAAACAAACTTCTTCGATGAAAAATCTAAAAAGTTATCAATTTCTCTTACACAACCATTATTGCCTTGGTTTTTTTTCAAAGTCTTTTTCTCTTCCATCTGGTCGATTCCATTCATATCGCCCTGTTATTGAATCAATGCCATCCTCCACTATGTGGATGATTTAATATTCATTAGCCATGTCGCACATCGACCAGTTTCCGCACTATATTAAGCCACTTACAATTTAATCCACCCTTCGAAAAAACTACATGTCATGTTTAGTAACATGTGTGATTTGATTTGCCGGGTACGGTTTTTATGAACCTGTTCACCCTCGCTGTTCTTATTGATGTTCTTCCGGCTGTGAACACGGATTATTTCGTTTTTTACGCGTCATTTAACTCTAGTCATGTTCAAATAATTATTTATATGTCATTTATAGTCAGTTTTTTTTTACCTTTAGAGAATGATGAATATGAGACAAGAATTCATAGCAAATTTTGTATTTTTAACGCTTTAATACAAAAAGAACTTTCACCAACTTCTGATACAGATATAGAGTCATTCTGAAGAATCAACTTTGATCTTACTGCATAACTAGATTTACAGTATTATATTATGAGTTTGAGTAATTTTTCTAAGAAAAATGGGATTTTCTTTCAAGCTTCATGAGTTTTCTTTATAGCAAGAAATCACAAACGTTTATACTTTTACTACGGAAATTTGATGCAAGCATTTAAGCAAAATCTGCAATCTAAATGAGATCTGGTTTCTTCAGAGATTTCACTATTTGAATGATGAATTGGGATAAACATTGGAAACAACTTTTAAGATATTCAAATATTTTATGTGTCATTTTTCACTAAAACATTTCATCTGTAAAAAAAATAATTACGTTTGATTTGGTTTTTAAGAGTATATAAGTATATGTGTTTAAGATTAAGATTCGAATGCTACCTTACGTTTAATGCGTTAAGATAATTTTTTTAGGAACGTACACAACTACACAACCAGGAATTGTATGGATTTTATTTTAACTCATGAGTCGTCAAAGTTGAATTCTATTTTATATAAAAGGTGGCAAGAATTTAATAATTTAACGGATATACATTTTCCGATAGCCTTTTTGTCTTGGTTTATTTTCATTTTCGTGATTTTATGAATTTTTTATATAACTCTATGCTAATTAAAATATATTATTATTTAAATTATTATTCTTATTCAACAAATAACCGCTTTGAATTTCTTCTTTTCCTTTGTTAGTATGCTGATTTGGTGACACTCTAAGAAACTGAAAAAACAAACAAAACATAGTAAAAACTCTGGTTCAAAATTGTTTTAAGTAAATGAGGCATTAGGGATTTAATATTGAAAAAAGAGCAGTTCGGTTTTCCTTCAAGCAGGTTCAAATTTATTGTCTTGAATTCAGCTTATACAAGTTTTCCCAATAAGAAAAAAATGTAGACATACGTTTAATCAAATCAATAATCAACATTTTCATTTTTAAGCACAGTAAAAGTATTTTAAGCAAAAATAGGTTCAAGACGGAGGTGCCTAAAACTTGCCGAAAATAAAATTGTGGCTATCTTGAAACTGGTGAGTGTTTCGGACTTTTAGGTTGCTGTGTAAAATAATTATTGCTGACATTTCGTAAGAGCGAGTCGCAAGCATCCTCAATGGCAGCTAAAGTCTGACTTTTCGTGTTGATCTTGTGTAAAAAAATGAAAACCTGGCCTCTACGCTTATGATTAGCTAATGCTTCCTTTCGAAGAAAATTTCAATTAACAGGAATGAACTATTTATAAAATAAAAAGCTTTAAAGCGAAGAAAAATATAAGTTATTAAATAATCAGTAATTTTTATTATTTAATCAGTTATTTTTATCAAATATTATATATTAAATAATCAGTTATTTTTATCAAAAACCATTTAATTCCAATGCTGCGTGATAGGAAACTATTGAATTTGAATTTTTTAATTGGGAATCTAATGCAAATTGATGTATAACGTTTATTAGAAATGTTGTTCTTAATTAAGCAGTAATTTTTCAAAAAAGATTCAGTTTTTTTTTCCTCTTCTATCCGGAGAAAACCGCAATTTCGCATCTGGTTTGGCTAAAGTAACTTCAAAAATTACACCTCAGGCAACTAGGAAATCAATGGTGATATTTTTAATGTCAAATCAAAGAACCCTTCACATTTTCAAACTATTGCAATTATGGTCGATTTAGCAATGCAGCAAATCCAACATTAAATCGAACTGTATTTGCAATGGCCAACATAAACATTTGCCTCAACAGAGAAAAATCAAAACGAATCCCGGCAGGCGATTCCCAAATATTGACGAATTTCAAAACAACTAACGAACTGTTAGCCAGCTTTGGTCGATCCCTTGTAAAAACCTCGTTAGCCGCCCTTTTGCCCTCCAATCAAAATTGACGATGCAGTTGAGGGCCGAATACCGATGCTCTGCGATGATTAGAGAGAGTTTTCCCAGTCGTTTTATTAAAACACCTGCAGGCAAAATAAATGAAACCAAAAAAAATTGCAGATTACAGTGTGGGATAAAACATTCAATGACGCGAAACCACTGGACGCACCAACATTTCAATGGTTTTACGGGCTCCGAATGTGCAGAAACGTTAGATTCTGGATTGACTTGCAACAACTCCACTCTGGCTAATTGTGCTTCAACAAAGAGGAGGTCGGCCTGCCAGAACCGGAAAGACGATCCTCGGCAAATACCAATCAAGACCGAGACTTATGCTAATATGATGTTCCGGGATGGATCGTGACCAATTTGTTCAATACTTTGGTACCGAAGAGCAAATTGACTTCTAAGAATCCAATTCTTTTAAATTTCCGGGACTTTTAAAATATCGGATTCACTCTATAGTTAATGGTTCCATTGATATAAAAGTTAACTGATTGACCTACAGTTAATAATAAAAATAAATTAAATATAAATCAACATTTGAAAATTTCGTTTTCCACTAAATTGCCTAGTTCACTACTAAAACCCCTAGCAAATAAAAGCCTCAGCGAGATAATCTCCGTTTTAAATACCTTCCTCTAAACTGTACCTTATGTTATAGCATTTAACATGTATTCATCCC